CGAGTAAAACTCTAACACAGAGAAGACCTGTCTATGCTGCCCCAGAACGCCTCGATTGGCACTCACTTGTTATACATAGATTTAGCTAGATCTATATATCTGGAATACGTTTTTTATAAAGTTCCCTAAATTGATTGTCGGTGTGTTACCTGAACTTGTCACTTACAAAACATTAAATTATTTTTAACATCATATTTTTTTAACTCACATTCAGCAGGCTGCAGAAGTAGAGCCGTTTGGTTCTTGTTAGAAATGCAATCACCTGCAAGCAAGAACCTGTCAGCTCAAATACAAATAAAAAGGGTTTACGCATAATGATGAGAACCACTTGTCCAGGTAAAACTACTTCAACAATCAACTAAATATGTGAAAGTCTAATTTGCTCCAGTTGCATCCAAACCCCAAATATGTATTATAAAGCCTCAACTAAGTGTCTATAAAAAATGTCTTGCATGCAACGCAGGATAATATGAATTCAATCAGGAGAGACGGTTTTGATGTAAGAATACATATTTATTGCCAGGAATACACAAATGAATGTAATGGTGATTTTGGCGATTAGGCCCCGTTGTGCAGGAAGTATCATTCGGGAGGGTAGAACCGATCCGATGAAACCCCCCGGGGTCTAGACACTGGTGGTAGTGAATGGATGGTTGGGTTCGGTCTGAAGGGGAGGGGCTTAGCTTGACCCTGGATTCAGAGGGACAGGAGGTGATAAGGGGTGGAGGAGGGTTGCGTCGAGTCACCTGAAATGACAACTGTCAGAGGGGAGAGCAGATTTAAAAGGGTTAGCAGAGCGCTATGATAGGCTTGAGAGAATAGAGCGAAGTGATTGGTTAAGCTGGGGAGTGACGCCCCCGATCACTTATTGAGAGGAGAGAGAGTAGTAACATGGAAATAGTAAATGAATGAGTAAACACGGTCTTCCTGGATGAATTTGCGATGAGCTTCATTTGGATTTGATTTTGATTCTTTGTCATGTTGTGTTGAAATAAATCACATTTTAGGCTTGAAATAAAATCATCCACTTCCAGCTTCTGGGCAAGTGCTCATGTCTTTTTTTTGTTTTTAAGCAAATGTGTTACTTATTTAGGATTAGTTAGACTAAATATTAGATCTTACCATAACCAAATATCATACTTTTTCCGCTCCGACACGTCAAATGTCTTAAACTTTAAATCACCACAAGACACCAAATGTTTCGAGTTCCTTCTTTTTAATGTGTTAACCTGCCATCTCATAAATCTGTTACACTTCTGAAACAAAATATAGGCAATTATACAGTATGTAAAACAAACCCATTTTATTTTACACTATATACATTTCATAACGTGTGCATTGCATTATGAAAACAAAAGACAAAGGTGATGAAAAAGCGACAGAACAAAGTGTTTTGACTTATAAAGGGAGGAGACCTGGGATCAAACTGCTCTTGAAAATAACTCAACGGTGTTTACTTCAATATTCAGAAGAGGATTACCAGTAAATGACCTTAACGCCAATTCACTTTGCTCATATCTGGTGTCTAAAGAAATCCCTTTGAATTATTTTCCCAGATGATTTGATCTAGTAGAGGTCATAAAACACAAATGGACTCTCTGCCATGTTGGCACCTGCTTCAGGGGATTATAGATAAGCTCTATGACAGCAGAAGTTAGTCATTAAAACCCGACAGAAACACACTTAGTTATTCTGCAAAAGAGACAGTTTTCCCTCAATTAAAAACGTATGAACCCGACAGAAAACAAATGGTACAGATTTAAGAATTTCTTACATGTTTTTAAATTAATTCAAAAGTACATTTTCCACGAGTTAAGATGTGCAGCTGTGATACAGGATGAGTTTGTTTTGGGATTGAATTATGACATTTAAAAACAAATCAATTTAGGATAAAAAGAAAATCTTAAAAAAACAACTTGAAGTCCTTTTCAGGAGAATCTGTCATTCACTTTGTCTTCATGTGTTTTAAGTAACTTGCATCTATTGTAACTTGTATTGATTTCTCTAAATCGGATCATTTACATGCGTCAACTGAGAGGACAAAGACGTTTTAACAACAGTCTCAGAGAACATGTTCAACGCTAACCGTTTACGCTGTTGATGGTTGTCTTTCAAATCAAATTGTAAATCTACGACATACCACAAGACCTAAAGAATGTTATTTTCCCTCCAAAAAACAAGACGAATATGACGAAGCAAGTCAAATATCTAATTGAATGAATTAGGCTTTAATAGGAAATGTGATTAAATATGCTTAAGTGGTTGACTATGTCAATTTGAGGCTATTTAGTAGACTTGGCATCTTTTTGACACTGAATGAACAAATCCATAGGAACATATCTTTGTCAAATAACCTGGTTGTGTGAATAAAACTTGGTTACAGCTCTGAAACTTCACTATGACACTTCTGTATTAACGGTCGTTGGCTAGACACACATGGTTTAGCATCAAGTAGCTCATCTGGGGAAGTGGTTCACTTTCTTACTCTAAAAGTGAATCGACCCCAGACCAGCTTTGACATTTTTCTATGGCCTATTAAGGAAATTCCCATTTTAAACTCACTACATGGCAATAGTGTGCCTTTTCATATCTCCGACACCAATTTCTCAATTCAACTCTCTGTGGGTTTTTTATACAAGAAAGGTGTGCACAGACAATTCAAAAGTACCCAAATAATTGAAACCCTCGCAGTGGATTCAAGCTCTCAACACTTCACTAAACTACCGGTCTATTTGCTTCTGTTACATCACAACAACAGTGTAGTAAAGTATCAAGGAGCGTGAATCCAGTGAGATGATCTGTGTGAAAACAGTTACATAGTGTGTAGGGACGTCCTGTCACTGAATGCTTAGAGGAAGGACATGCTGCCATGTTGGTAAAGTGACAGGAACAGATTAGGATTATGACATATCGATTTTCTGAGCCGTGGAAGAAAAAGCTTTTACACTAAGCTGTTACATTATTTTCTTATTGTCCACCAGCATGACGTAATGTCCCTTTTAAAAACACTGTATACACATTCAGTGACAAATCTATAGAGCTGAAATGCACTTAGACATTAGGTAATCTCCCATTTACTCCACAGCCAGCCTCAATATTTTTAAAAACACTTATTGTTCCTTTCAATTCGATGTCATGGCTGTTGTCATGACGTTGAATAATGAAATTGTCGGTCAAATTCTTATAAAATTCAAAATGTCTCGATTGAATTCAAAGACATTACTGTGACCATGGTGGTTATTCTTAATCAGGTCTCTATCGTCATATTATTGATATTTTATTGTAGTGAATGACCTGATTAAGTTAATTACCATTAACTTGGGAGTAGTTATAAGCTTATATACCTGTGTTTCTACGAAGGAAATCAATAAACCCAAAATGTTTCAGCTCTGTAAGACATCAGGGTTAACATTGATGTCTCAGCTATGTTCCTCTGAAGCTACCTGTAGTGTCACAGCTTGTAGAGACGTAGTGTACGGCCACATGTAGACGCTCCTACACACCACACATCTACATGCATGTAGTGATCTCTTATACAGATGTCGGCCTTTAAAAAAAGTCACAGCAGTGAAGGCCGAGGTTAAAAATACAATCACTTACAGTAAAGAAAAAATGTGGATTTACACAGAAGTTAAAATCCATTTTGTCACAAGCTAAGCTCTTCCATTTGCTCCCTACAGTAAATGTGTTTTGCCTAAATGTGAAAGTGTCCTATAATCATGTGAAGTGAAATATATAAAACCATTTTGACTATATTATGGGATTGTTTAAACAGAAAGGCCCACTGTACTTTTAATATGGTGCGCCCCATCCTTGAAAAGTCTATTTATTGCAAAAAATAAAAAAAATGATGTTTCCTTCTGTGTAAATCCAGCTTTTTTAATATATAGGTGCTTTTTTTTTTTTTAAATTGACCTTGAGCTGAAACACAACTGTCACTTGTTAAAGACCAGATCTGCACATGACGCACTGGTATGTGCATGTTCTATGTCTACACACACACGGAAACACACACACTGTGCACACACACAAGGGCATATATTAGAATGACATCACATCTGTTTATCAAATATCTTTTTCTCTGTGCAAATGTATAACACCAGTGGTTCGATAAAAAATAGCAAAATAAAAAAAAACGTTCTGATAAAAACCATAAAAAGGGGTGAATGTCGAAAAACTAACTTGAATGAAGAGAATTTGTAACGCCCGTTGCCCTGACGACTGTCGCTATGGTACAAACGGGTTTCATTGATGATGCATGCAACATGAAAACGATCATTTCTGTGTCAGCTCGGTTCAACGCTGAGCTCCAGACTATGAGAGTAATATCAGATTACTGAAGCTGTCCACCTGAGGAGACGGCAGGGCTTCCTGACCCTCGTCACATGATCAGGGAACCAGGAAGTGAATCTACTGCTTCATCACTCGCCCACTGTCTCTCCGCTTGTCTCCACAGTTGTACAGAGCAACTATACACACGCCTATCTACATGACCATTAGTGTTCGTCTCTGTCAAAAAAATACTACATTTATATTTACAACAATTAAATAGAGGTCAATTAAGCACTTGTGTGGTGTGTGGGTGACGGATATCAGAATTCAATGCTAGCAGAGTTGGCAAAGCTTTTTATGTTTAGAAACAAATAAAACAGGAAAGCCATCCTGGTTGTTAAAGTTACATCATGCGACAATAAATAAAAGTGTATTTAAAAAAAAAGAAAGGGGGGAAATGAAAGACAGAGGAAAGGACGATGGAGTAGAGAAACGTTTTCTGTGCAAGATGGCTCTTCTGTGAAGCTTAGCGCAAGTAGCAGTAGCAGTAGTAATATGTGTAGTACTAGTAGTAGAAGTAGTGTTGACGTCAGACTTCTGTTTTCCCAGTGTGCAGTATACGGGGAGATGTGGGAAGGATTCTGGGTTTAATTTGCTCGACTAAGGTGCAATTTCCTCCGATTACCTCAACCCAAACTGACCTCAGATCTGCAGTTTCTAACCCTCGCTCCACAACCCGCTGCCCTACAACACAACTAAAACACATGTAACACTGCGGTGCATTTTAAACATCTGCAACTGGGAACACACATCTGCCCCTTGATCGTCTCCTCTCCAAGGGGACACAGGAGTTTTTTTTGGGGGGGGGTAAGCGGTAAAGGTGGGGGTCTTTTCCCGGTTGCTCACTCCCTTGTTTGCATTAGTGGAGGGGTGTTTAGAGAGTGTGTTTGTGTGTGTGTTTGTGTGTGTCTCAGTAGCTGTTTTCATGGCCTGCCAGGATGTAGAGGTTGCTGTGGGCTGTCGGGTTGTCTGTGGGCCGGCTCTCCAACACCACCACCCTGCAAAACACACACACACACACACACACAGACAGTCAAAAACACAAGCACACACACACACACACACAAGATCCAGGTTAGTTTAGAAGGGAAGGGAAGAACACATGAATCAGTCTTTATTCCACCTTTAAACCACAAAAATCACAACAACCCAGCCTGCTTGTGGCAAAAATAAATAAAAGCCTGAGTTAAATGAAGCATTAAGTCGTAATAAAAAACCAGGAGTTATTGCAGAAATGTGTACTGACAGAAGCAACCCACACAGGATATGGTCCAAGCCTGTGAAAGCCCTGTTATTTAGAAAAAGTCAGCAGAGGGAGATACTCCGTTTACCTTGAGGGAAACTGTGGGAGCTGTTAATACTGTTTTAAGAGGGTCCCAAAGGCTCACACATTCACACATCGTAACTCAAAGAGACTCAGCTGCTTCGTAATGAGGCAATAAAACACCAACATTATCCAGTCGCCATTAAAAACAAGCTGCTTGTTTAATATTTAGTGCAGGTTTTAACAATCCTTGACACAGAACTGACGGTATTTACTGTGTTTTTTACAGTTATACCATCAGTCGTATTGTTAGCTTGCAGCATCAGACCAGACAAAGATGATTTTGGTGCTTTGGTTTATTTCCTCATACACACTCTTTCTTTCTTTCTCTCACACACTAGTCCCCACAGAAAGAGACAGGAGGGGGTTTTGAGGTGGTAGGGGGGGCAGCTTCAGTGAGTTTACCTGGGCAGAGTGAGGCCTCTGTCCTGAGCCTCTGGATCCCTATAGTCGTCACGTCTTTAGTGATAAAATATCAGAGAGGATGTTAACAGAGACCTAAAGCCTCATTTACACCGCATGGTAAAACTCTACTCAACTCGTCGGAATGAAATACGTTTTTACTCCGGATGACAACGCCTCTGTTTGGGGACGTGCTGATAAAAGTGCACTATAAATGGAAAATCTGACACATCCTTTTATTATTAATTCAATTGAAAGGCGCAGTGTAAAAGGATTGACCAGTTTAAAAAATGCAAAGTAAGTTTTACCCACTTCACATTTTAAAATCTGGGTTAAGTGAAAGAAATGTTGGTTCCACTTTACACTAAGACTACCCTTATGAAGGATTCATAAAGGGTTTATAATTAGGTTATGAATTAGGTTGTAAACACTTTATTAACAATTAAGAACCATTTATAAACCACTTCTAACAGGCTCACTATTTGGCAAGATGACTAAGCCTTAAATAATTGGCTACTTAGCGAGAATCAACTCGGTGAGCAACAGATACCAAGGATGCTGGCTGATGAAGGAGACCAAGTAAGCTAGGTAGCCAATATAAGGCTTAGCAGTACAGATACATGTGGGCTCACTATTTGGCAAGCAACCGGTCCCAGTTGCCCTGTTTATCTCATGTCTTATAAAAGCTTATTAATCATTTATAAAGTGTTCACAACCTAATTAATAATTGAATTACAATCTATTCTTAAACCTTTTATAAGGGTAGTGTTATTGTAAAGTGGTACCGAAATGTTTTTCTGTTTTAGCAGTATGCTTCGTGACATGCAGCTGACTAATGTTGGTGGTCTGCAGTGTTTAAATGTCACCCTTTATCACCGCCTATGCTCGCTTGGTGGTCTTTTAATTAAGTACCAGGTACCATCGCAAGCGTATAACCGAAAAATATCACATTGTGTTGTACCATGCAGTGAAAATGCGGCTTAAGTTTGTGTGATGTTCATGAAGTGAGGAGGTGCGTGTGTGTGTGTGTGTGTGTGTGTGTGTGTGTGTGTGTGTGAGTGTGAGTGTGAGTGTG